AAAATCTACCAAAATGCAAATTAGAAAGAGATTCGCCTTAATAAATCCCGTTTCTTCAACATACATGTCTTAAAATAGAAGTTATAGTCTTATTTTGATTTTCTGGTTATATTTTTCTTGTGATTAGAAATTGTATGCAAAACTTACATATATAATGATTCGAAGTTTTGAGAAAACGACCCTCCAGAAAGTAAAAGGAGAGAATTTGATTTGCTCTTTCTACAAAGTTAAAGGAGTGTGTTAGATTCTGTTTGTGAATGTTATGGTGGGAATCGAATTTTTATTGTATTTACCCAAAGAAATTAAGGATAGAAAAAGGGGAATAAACAAAAGAAGCCTTATCATCCTTCTGGATTTTTTTAGAAAAGGAAGAACTAAAAACACATGTCATAGAGCTGGTGAATAAATATCGACCACAACGTTGGATCCTCGAAAAAGAGGTCTACAAATATTCTACACGATATGTTCAATTTCTGTATCACTAAATTAGTAGATATGTATTCTGGGACTCTTGATAACACAAAAGGGAAAATATTAGTAGATATTAGGAGAATCTTAAACCACTATACATAAACTATTTCAGTCGAACAAAACAAAAAGAAGCTAAACCAAATCATATCGATACATATACTACCAAACCAAATTTTCTTGCTCTACATATTTTTAAATCTTTGTTTCATAATAATATTTTCTTGAATCACCTGAAAATCAAAAACTTAACCAAATTATTTTTTTTCCAACGTTTAAAAAAAGTATTTGGGATGTATGAATAAAATACCAATAAAAAAAAAAGCATAATACATAAAATCCAGTAGTAATGGATGTTGAACCAGAAAATTACCACTAGAGTTTGTGATTAACGGTTGTGGGTTTTGGAGAATAAAATATTTTTATTAATAGTTCAAAAATGAAGCGGATGCAAAGATTGGTATAACCGAGAGGTTATGCCGAAGTGAAAGAGAAGTGTTTATGCGGTAAACTACAAAGCTTGGAGTTCTTGGGTTTAGCTCTGCTGCTCTCTAGATTGTATGAATTGTCTTCTGATGCTCTGGGGTCTTCTTATTTATAGGAATAGGAGGCCAGTCGCGGCGAGCTCCTTTTCTTTTTCTTCTTTGGTGAATATTTCCATATTTGCGATATGGAAATATCCCTTATTCTCTGAAGAATATGGAAATTCTCCTTTATCTTTAAATATTTCTTCGAGCTGATCCGATGCTTTATGGGTTTTGAGGATTATCTTCGAGGTTTTTCTTTTAAGAGCTACGTCGGCGCAGTCTTCTTGGTCTTGATGGGCTTAGGTTATTGCTAGAGAAAGCCTTTTAGGAAATGTGCTCATTTCCCCTCTAACAATAAGTCCCCCCCAATTCGTCGAGACTGATAGTAAATCAGGTCTGCGGACTTCACGAAGTAAATGAGTTTGATCTTGCAATAAGCGTCAGCTCGTCAAGAGCGTTTTTCTGCGATGGCCAGCTCGGCCCGCTTTTAAGTGGATTTGACACGTGGCGCTTCCCCTTTTTAAAAAAAAAATATGCTGCCTCACTAGGGTTTTGCTTCAAGCGGGAAAGGCAAAAAGTTTATCAGACGGCGAGTATATGTGAATATCGACACGCGTCTTTTAAGAAAACTGTTGATATTTCTTCTGATTTTATTACCGAAATTTCATCTCTTCGTCTTCTAGCTCCAAGGTTTTCATTTTTCTCAGATTGCTTTTGCAAATATCATCTTTTTTTTTCCATGATAGTCTCCTCTTCTTGTCAATCTTCCTTCTTTTTCCTTCTGATTTATCCAGAAATTTTGTTTTCTTCTTCTATCGAAAAATGTCGACGGGATCGCATGGTTCTTCCTTTGACGAAGACGACATTTCTCTCGCCGAGCGCGCTAAGCAAGCCTGGATTAGCCCAGTTCCTTCTTCTTCCTCGAATTATGAGGGGTCTTCAGGTTATCGAGACGTAATTTCGCCGGACAACTCTGATATAGACTCCAAGATGGAATCAGAAGATTCCGAGCCAGCGAGCCGGGTCGATGGTCTCCCAAAGAAGATAGTGATGCCGAAGAGCGACTTGGCTAAAGAAGATAAGATAAAAGACAGGCGGACCTAGATGACGGCTGATAGGTTTCAGGAGCTTAGGCGAAGATGTAATTTCCCCGCTGGAGTCGAACTGCTCCTGCCGCAAGTACACGAGAGAGTGACATCGCCCCCAGAGGGTTACTTTTGCTCGTACGAGTGTCACTACACAGAGTTTGGTTTGAGTTTCCCACTGCCGCCGCTTCTTCTTCGCTATTGTGAAAGGGGGAAGGTGCCCCTCGGTCAGCTCTCGCATGCTGCGATTAGGCATCTGGTTTCCATGGCGGCAGTAGCTCGAGTGGCGGAGGTTCCATTTAATTGAGATATTTTTGAAAGGATTTCGATTCTGAAACCCGAGAAATGGAGTAGGTCAGGACAGTGGCATTATTTTTTACACCACCATGAGGTTCGGGATCGTTAGTGGAGATCCGACGAGCAAAGTGCATGAATGGGATAGATACTTCTTCTTTGTGAAGATCAATGAAGCTTCCATCAACTGCTCTAAACTCGACTTATTTAGAGTTTGGAAATCAAGACCTGGTAGCCGACCTGTTTTTCTTACAAGTGTTCTGCCGGGGGTTTTTTTGGGATGCTGATTTTGCTTTTTTTTTTGCAGAGTCGATTAGCCTTGGGAAGGATCTGTTTGGTCTCGACATCGACATCCAGAAGCTGTGTAAGTTGAACAAAAAATTGTGGCCTGAGAAGGAGAAAAGAGGGCCTTTGGAAAAGAAAACGAAGTCGGCCAAGCCGACCGAGAAGAAAGCTAAGTCTTCGAGAACAGGTGTGTTGCTGGACCGAAGTAGTTCCGTGCCGCTTTTCTGAGCGCTGTGTCTTATTGCTATGTATTCTAATTTTTCAGCTGCCAAGAAGACGTCGCGACCGAGACCTGAGGGGATGGGTCTTAAGAGGAGAAGAGCGATCCCGGTAGTTGAGGTTGATATCCCTGCTACCACCCCCTTGAAGCGGAAGAGAGCGACTCCTCCAGCTGCACCTATTCAGGTGGATTCAGGCGAAGCCGAGCTGGCTTCAGAAGACGAAGGTCTTGCAGACGACGTTGCGAGATATTGATCTATTCTTGATCGTCTCTGCTTTTTTGGTAGGCTGAGGTGATTCCTGATTTTTTATCGCTGTTTTAGTTTCTCCAGGGCTGCAGCATGGGAAAGGCTTAAGCAGACTGCTACTGAGAAGGTTGCAGAAGCTCCGTTGAATGAATCTGTTCAGGAAACTGATTCCCAGGCCAAGGGTGCCGAAGGTTCCTTTGATGCCGAGATGGCTTGTCAAGAGGCTACTCTGCCGCCCGAGGGGTCTGCTCTTCCGCAAGATACTGGTTCTCCAGGCGTCGAAGATGCGATCCGGCATAACACCGAACATGCTGCTCCGAGTGCTCCTGCCGAGCCTAAGAAGGAAGAGGAGTTTTTTTATTATAATCCTCACCACTTCAGCTTGAAGTGGGATGGCGTCACTTCGGCGATGCTTGATCGCGAGTTTTCCGCGAAGCTGATCTGGAAGTGCAAAAAGAACCCAAGGTGTGGTAAACCTCTGCGGGAGCTGAAGTTGGCGGAGTCGATATCCTCGGCGAATCATCTGATTGCTCAGGTACCCCCCCCCCCCCCCCCCCCCCCCCCCTTTTTTTATGTTGTTGTGTTTCTATTTTATTTGGTCGCATGCTCTAATAGTAAATTGTAGTGCAGGGTTTGGGAACGTACATGTCTGCGTTCGAGACATATGACAAGAATTATTGTCATGAGGAGACGATGCTGGACGTTGCTTATACCAAGCTTGAGGAGATTCAAAAAATTAAAGAGGAGAATCGGCTTCTCAAAGAGATGTGTTCTCAGCTTGAAGGCACAGTAGACGTCCTCAAGCTAGAGGTGGTGGAGTCATCTCGACTGTGTAAGGAGGTTGCAACCCTCAAAGCGCGAAGTGAGTCTTTCGAGAAGCAAAAGAGGAGAATACGCAAAAGTTCATTGCCGAGAAGGAGAGGCTTCAAAGTTCTTGTGATAATGTGGCGCGAGACGTTGCTGACAAGTTTTTTGACAGTATGGTCTCTTGGTTTAAGCCACGGATAGAGCGGGTTCAAGCGCTAGCTCAGTGAGAAGATATTGAGGCTGTCCTGATTGGCGTGGAAAAGAGCGGTGCTATGGTGGCGTACATGAAAAAGATGCTTGAGAAGGGATGGGAATTCCCCGCTGGCACACTTCCAGCCTTTGAAAGGGAACTCGCGAAGTGGCAGACTGCAAGTAATGCTATCGATGAGATAGTCATTACCGATGACGATCTCAGTCTGCCAAGCAAGTCAGTGTTACCACTGTGTAAAAAAAAGCATGATACATAAAATCCAGTAGTAATGGATGTTGAGCCAGAAAATCACCACTAGAGTTTGAGATTAACGGTTGTGGGTTTTGGAGAATAAAATATTTTTATTAATAGCTCAAAGATGAAGCGGATACAAAGACTGGTATAACCGAGAGATTATGCCGAAGTGAAAGAGAAGTGTTTATGCGGTAAACTACAAAGCTTGGAGTTCTTGGGTTTAGCTCTGCTGCTCTCTAGATTGTATGAGTTGTCTTTTGATGCTCTGGGGCCTTCTTATTTATAGGAATAGGAGGTTGGTCGCTGCAAGCTCCTTTTCTTTTTCTTCTTTGTGAATATTTCTATATTTGCGATATAGAAATATTCTTTATTCTCCAAAGAATATAGAAATTCTCCTTTTATCCTTAAATATTTTTTCGAGCTGATCCGATGTTTTATGGGTTTTGAGGATTATCTTCGAAGTTTTTCTTTTTAGAGCTATGTCGGCGCAGTCTTCTTGGTCTTGATGAACTTAAGTTATTGCTAGAGAAAACCTTTTAAGAAATGTGCTAATTTCCCTTCTAACAGCGTAATGTTGTTTATTTGATCGGGTAATGACTAATGTTGCTCTTAACGTGTGAATTATTGTTAAGCGTCTCTTTGTTTACCTGTATCTGAATGTAGTATATATACTTCGTGCATGTGATGTATATGTGTGTATACTCAAATAGGTATGCTTTGTCTTCAATTAGATCACAATCTTCAACTTGCAAACACCCAAACAAAGAAAATAAAAATAGAAATAAACACGGGCCCTATTTCGAAGCTCCTCGAAGATCTTTGCTCCAAGTCTCTCACTTTTTCATCCAATCTTCACTAGTTTCTTGTAAAGTTTCCATTTTTCTTTTCGAACAATAAATTAGTAAAAACCTTTTGATGATGGGTCATTGATGTTTTCTTCATTTGATCCAATCCTCCGGCTTCCCCTAAAAAATCATTTTACAGCTTAAAGATTGCAACTTTCTGATCCTTAAGAGGAGGAGCTCGAGGTCAAATTTCATGAATTCTGAAAGAAACAGAAACTTCAAGCAGCTAGTATGGAATGTTGATTTTGTCTCCTTGTAAGAAAAAGAAGATCCTTTTGGTGTTTTCTCTCTGATACAACAATGAATATGAGCAAGAAGATTATAGTATGGTTTAGAAGAGACTTAAGAATCGAAGATAACCCTGCATTAGCCGTTGCTGCACATGAAGGATCTATATTTCCTGTGTTCATATGGTGTCCTGAAGAAGAAGGACAATTTTTCCCAGGAAGAGCTTCAAGATGGTGGCTTAAACAGTCACTTACTCATTTAGCACAATCCTTGAAAGCTCTTGGAGCTGAGCTCACTCTTATCAAAACCCATAGCACCGTTTCCGCAATCTTGGATTGTATCCGAGCCACTGGTGCTACGAAACTCGTGTTCAATCATCTTTACGGTAAACATGCATCAAAGTTTCAATCTTTTTGATGGAATTTCACACAGTCTTGAATTTTGGTTTTTTTGAATTCTTGAATCTTGATTTTTGGGTGTTCTTGAATTCTTGAATCATACCTTTTGTATATAGATCCGGTTTCGCTTGTTCGGGACCATACCGTTAAGGAGAGGCTTGTGGAGATTGGGATTACTGTGCAAAGCTATAATGGAGATTTGTTGTATGAGCCATGGGAGATTTACAGTGAGAAAGGCCAGCCTTTTACTAGCTTTAGTCTCTACTGGAAGAAATGTTTAGATATGACAACTGAACTTGTTTCACTTCCTCCTCCTTGGAGATTGAATCCAACAACTTCAGGTAGGATTTTAAACATTTAAAGAGTTTTTGTTTGACAAATTGTTGACATGGTTCTTGGTTTGTTCTTGTGTCAGCAACACCGATTGTAATTGTGGGGGCTTGTTCAATCGATGAGCTTGGGTTAGAGAACGAAGCAGAGAAACCGAGCAACGCATTGTTAACCAAAGCTTGGTCTCCGGGATGGAGCAATGCTGATAAAATACTAAACGAGTTCATCGAAAAACATCTCATAGATTACTCCAAGAACAGCAAGAAAGTCGTTGGAAACTCAACCTCTCTGCTTTCTCCCTATCTTCATTTCGGGGAAATAAGCGTGAGACGCGTTTTCCACTGCGTTCGGACGAAACAAATCGTCTGGGCGAGAGACGAGAACCGGAGCGGAGAAGAAAGCGCGAAGCTTTATCTTCGATCTCTCGGGCTAAGAGAGTACTCACGGTACATCTGTTTCAACTTCCCGTTTACTCACGAGCGTTCTCTGTTGAGCCATCTTCGTTTTTTCCCTTGGGACTCGAATGTCGACAAGTTCAAGGCTTGGAGGCAAGGGAGAACCGGTTATCCGTTGGTTGACGCTGGAATGAGAGAGCTTTGGGCTACGGGATGGATACATAACCGGATAAGAGTGATTGTTTCGAGCTTTGCAGTGAAGTTTCTTCTGCTTCCATGGAAATGGGGTATGAAGTATTTCTGGGATACTTTAATGGATGCTGATTTGGAATGTGACATTCTTGGTTGGCAATATATTTCGGGTAGCTTACCTGATGGCCACGAGCTCGATCGATTGGATAATCCCGAGGTAAATTCACACTCTTTTTTATACTAGTTTCGAGAAACTAAAAGCTTTTAGAGGTTTCTCTGCTAGTGGTAGACATTCTTTTACTCGGTTTGGTTCGGTTCGGGTTATTTAAGTTTTCGATTTCTCGAATTCTAGAAAATTTGGTCCAATTGAGGATTAAACAATTGTTTGGTTTGGATTTCAGAGGTTTTTGAAAATAAATCTCGATCGAGATCAAATTTTATTACAGTTTGGTTCGGTTTGGGTTTTTGGGTTTTCTGGTTTTAGAAAATAAATTTTATTCGGGAGCAAATGTTATTTTATCTTGGTTTGATTTGGTTTTAGAAAATAGTTTATATTAAAAACAAAAATAAAAAATTGTTGTTTAATTGTAGATTAAAAATTTATACAAAAGAATTAATAATGAATTGCGTTTAACTAAAATTGTAGATTTTGAATATATATAAATATACTTTTATATATTCTTAATTAATAGCATCAGTTCCAAAATGAATTTCAATTAGTCGGTTTGATTTGTAAAGTTAAGATTTGGGATCGGTTTGGGATTTGGTTAATTCGGTTTACACATTTTTATTCAGTTCAGGTTATTTTATATTATCCAAAATATTCATAAATTTTTTGTTAACTCAAAAAAAAATTATAAGATATAGGAATAAAAATATAGTTTGATTCGGGTTCGGAAAATTTGGTAGTTTTGGTTCGGTTTGAGACTTTTGCCTAGTCAGTTCCCTGTAAACATTCTTTGGTTTTTATTTCAGTTACAAGGAGCCAAGTTTGATCCTGAAGGTGATTACGTGAGACAATGGATCCCGGAGCTAGCGAGGTTCCCAACAGAATGGATTCATCATCCATGGGACGCTCCTGTATCGGTGCTGAGAGCCTCAGGTGTTGAACTAGGTAGTAACTATGCTAAGCCCATCGTAGACTTAGACACGGCCCGTGAGCTACTTACTAAAGCGATATCAAGAACTCGGGAAGCTCAGATCATGATTGGTGTTGCACCGGACGAGATTGTGGTTGATAGCTCTGAAGATTTCGGAAAAGAAAACGAGATTTGCCAGAACTTTGGGTCCAATGATCAACAGGTTCCATCTGCTGTTCATCAAAATGGTTGCAAGAGATTGAAAGCTGAGTCGTCTTCTTCTTCTTCTTCATCGGCTAAGGTCAAAAGACAGAACGAGAGTGTGAGCTTCTACTCTGCTCCAAAACCACAGCAACAACAATCTTGTTCGTTGATGTGTGAAGGGAAGAATTTGCGAGATATTCAAGATTCTTCCTCGGATAGAATTAAAAGCTCAACAAAAGATGTTTAAAAGTCTAAAGAGATGTTAATTTAATATTATCTCTGTTTATTGTTATTTTTTTCCATATTATATGTTTGTTGTTTTGTTTTTTTTTGTTTTGGAGATCTTACAAAAAAAATAAAGGAAGAATATAAACCGTTAGATATTATTTTGAATCTATAACATATTTTATTAAAGATAAATACTGATTAGAGAAAACTCAAATAAAATGTAGGATAATTCAGAAAGCAACAAAAAAAAAAACTCTTAACAAAAAGATCTATGGAGAATCTGATAAAAAAAAGACAAAAAAACAAAAAAGATCCTAACAATCCGCGATAATTAAGAGAGAAAAAAGAGGGAAGAATCTAAACAACAATCTTCTTGATTTTCTCCGGTTCAGCTTCGCCGGAAAGTTCTTCAAGGGACTTGCCCTTAGGCTCCGGAGCAAGAAACGTGAACAAAAAGCCAACAAAACTGATTCCCGCCATGATCAGTAACGTCACCCTCATCCCAACAGCCTTAACCAAAGCAGCAAAACCGAAAGAACCAACCATCGCACCGGATTTACCGGAAGCAGCCGAGATACCGTGACAAGTCGACCTAAGCCTCGCCGGAAAAATCTCAGCCGGGACAATGAAAGTAGTTGCGTTAGGTCCGAAATTGCAGAAGAAAAAAGTGAGAGAGTAGAGAACCAGAAAACCAATTCGGTTATGCGGTAAAGTCCAATGGTGGTACGGTATGGCTAAACCGATCAAGCAAGCCGTCATCATGAAGAATCCGAGAGCCTGAATCTTGAACCGTCCGATCCAGTCGATGGTTAATACGGTGACCCAGTAACCAGGAATGGTTCCGCAACAAGCGATAATGGTTTGTGCCCTAGCGATCATGAAAAGCTCTTGGATCGCGTTCATAGTTTTCGCCGAAGGTAACCAACCAATGCTGGTGAAGATATCTTTCTGGAACAGGTTTTGGCTGTAGAAAGCGATGTCGAGGAGGAACCATGTGGTGGCTGTACCGAGCAAGTGAAGCCCGTGGCGGTGGAGGAATTTCTTGGAGAACAAGCCAAAATCGTCTGAAGAAACCCTAGATTGGTCATTCTTTGCGGAAGAGGCTTCTATGTCTACGTTTAGAACCTTAGACATATCCGAAGCTGCTTGCTCCGCGTTCTTGGCGATTAGAGCGGTGTAACGAGCGGTTTCAGGCATCTTCACACGCCAGTAGTAAGTCAAGAGAGCCGGTACAGCCCCCAACATAAGGATGATTCTCCACACAAAATCCGCCTGCGGAACGGTGGAAGCCGCCGCGTTGACCATATAAGGCGGAGAAGGAAAGTAAAGCTCGAAAAGATACGAGACGAGTAAAGAAACACATCCCGCGGCTAAGATCCCAAACCCTTGCATAGCGAAAACGGCTGCTATGAACGCGCCACGTGTACGTTTGTTGGCGTACTCTGACATGATCGTGGCCGAGAGAGGATAGTCACCACCGATGCCAAACCCGAGCCAGAAGCGGAAGAAGCAGAGAGTTATCATGACGGTTTTCGGGTCGGTACCGAAGGTGAGACCAGAGCAAATAGAGCATAAGGTCATGATAACGAGAGTCAAGCCGTAGACTCTCTTGCGGCCAAGCTTATCACCGAGACACCCGAAAAAGATCTGTCCAATAAACGTTCCGGCAAAGGCCACACCGCTCACGGCGGCAGATATGCTGTCAGGGAGGCTTCCTGGAGAGGAGGAGCCAGGTGTGTGATAGTAGATCCGGCCAAGAAGCTTCGTGACGAGAGATATCACGAAGAGATCGTATGAGTCTGTAAAGAACCCCATACCGGAGATTACAACCGCCGTGATGTGGTACCATTGAGTCTTTGCTGTGTCGAGAGCTTTCAAGATACTGCCTTGTTCTTCATTAGTAGCCATGTCGATTTATTTCTTTTCGTTCTCTAACTCTGAAAACCAAACAAGTGAAAGAATTGTTACAATATATACATAGAGAAAGTTTTTGTAACAAAATAATATAACAAACTATACCAAAAACTTAGGGATTCGAGACTTCTAGCTGAACAGAATGCGATAAAAAAAACTTAAACACATAAAGATCATGCCATAGTTGTTCTCATGCCGCATTCATGATTCATCGAAAAAATTAGTTTCCGTGTTGAAACATCTGATAATAATAGTCTAATAGTATGAACACATGTATGTATAGTATATCAAGAAAATTAAATGTAAGGAATGATCAAAGTGATTACCAACAAGGGCTTAGAGCCTGAAAGACACTCGTTTTCTATTTAGTTGAAGACTCTTGAGGAATGAGATGCGTTTTTATATATACAGGGATACAGATGAGAGCACAATGGTATATTCTATTGGGAAAAGGAATAGATTATCGTTAAGAACCTAGGAGAATAATGCCGTGATTTAATTTAATTGTTTGTTTTGTGATTAAACTCTAACAAACTTTCATATTAAATTATTCAAAATTCTAGATATTTGATATTGGGAAATATTTCTTGACTATATCCGATAGTAAACGATTGTAACTGAGAGAATATTCTTCAATGATCGTTTAAAATAGTAGTCGAGTAATAATTCCAGAGAGAGGGGCTTAGGATCGAATAGAACCAAAATCCATCAATCCAAAATCGAGCCAAAGTAAATATTCTAATGAAAATAATTGTTTTTTACCGAATAAACGAAACTAAATTCGAAGCGGATTCAAACTTTTATGCGACGCTGTGAATAAGTGAATAAGGGGATTCAAAACTTTCTGCAACGCTGTAAACTATTAATTATTTTTAGAGATATTTACCTAGAATAACCTTACTAAATAAGGTATTGACTAGGATAACATCCTTACATGACTGAGTAACTATAATAATTTTACAAAGTTGTGGAAAAACCATATGATCTAAAAAAATTATGAAATAACCAATTTTTTTGGAAAAATAGATAAAAAATATTAATTAAAATAAATAACAAAAAACCTAAAACAGAAAAAAATATTATCCGATCTCAAAATTATCATTGCCACGACGGGATAAAAATCCCTAAATCTATCTTCTCCGAGAGGCGAATCTCTTCTCTGGCAGACGAATCTCTTCACAGGCAGGCGAATCCCGACGTTTACCCAGAGACGACACGGCCTCCTTACGACAGACGGCGGCACCTCCTTAAGACAGGCGGCGACGACTGCTTCGTTTCGCGGCGAAAGAGTTCTTCGACAGCTGCTTCGTTTCGCGGTGACTGAATATTGAGTAAGTCCTTTTGTCCATCATCGTCGATTCGTCTCCATTTGTAGATCTACGGTGTTTGTTGATGGTAACCTTGGTTTCAGATTTGTAGATCTAGAGTTTTTGAAGTAAAGTCGGATTATAACCGACTTTTGTTTTTATTTAGCAGAATTCCGGCGAGGACAAGGAGGAGAAGGCGACAGAATCCGGTGAGGATAGAGAAAGTGCTTGGTAAAGGTAACCGAATAAACTTATTTGATGGTAGACTTTTCATTGGTAGACTTATTTCCTTTTATCGGTCGAATTTGTTGTTTTGGTAGACTTATTTGTGGATTAAGTTTCTCATCGGACTATTGTTTTTCCCTTTTAGTTAAAAAAGATCCGGTGAGGACGACAACGAGTAGGCGACATAATCCGGTGACTATTGAGAAAGTGAACCGTGAAAAGGTAACCAGATTTTAATTTTGAAAATGTATTGATGGTAGACTTCATGATAATGACGTGCTGTCTTGGTGATAGAATTGTTTTGCGATGGTAAACATGTTGGTAGACTTGTTTTGTGATGGTATGGTAAACATGTTGGTAGAATTGTTTTTGTGATTGTAGACTTGTTTTGTGATGGTAAAGGTAAACGTGTTGGTAGACTTGATGGTTCAGACGTTTGGTGGTAGTCTTATTGTCTCTGTGGTGGTAGACTTGTTTGTTTGCTCGGTGACTTATTTGCTATGTGGTGGTAGACTTGTTTATGATATATGTGTTTACTTTTGCAGCTTAGTGGATGGCGTCTTCAAGCGCGAAGAAGCTGAAATACCCACCCCGATTGTTTAGAAGATCCTAAAAGGAAGAAGAAGCGAAAGGTTGAAAGTGCCTCGAGGGAGAAGAAGAAAGAAAAAAAGGAAGTGATTGTCACGGAGGCAGAGAGTAGGGAGGATGTCTTTGATAAGGAGGATGAAGAGTTCGACATGACAGTTGGTAAGTTTGCTGAGAAGGTTCAGAAGAAGACAGCGACGCAGGAGAATAGTAGTGAGACAAATCCGCTTTTATAGGCAATTCAGGCATTATCTTCCAAAATTGACGCTATAGACGAGAGGGTGACTACATTGGTGGGTGGGGTTAAAGACAATGTTCAGATTCCAGAAGAGGCAGAACCTGAGGGAGAAAATCCGGATGGAGATGCCGAATCCAAAGCAGATGAACCTGCGGTTAAGAAGGATCGGGTACGCAAGTCTCTCTTCTAGTAATCAACATCGTAAGAACCATTGAGGGTGTTTTGTTTTTATGCATCTTGAAACTAATAGTGGACGAGTTTTGGTACCAAACTTTGCAGATTTGTAGTATCTATTTCCTATGTGTATTATAAAGTGTGGTTTTTTATATGTTTATGAATCTTGTATTTGAAACTTGTAGACAAGTTTGCTGATTTGGTTTTATTTTGGTTAAATTTATAATGTTTACACACCTTATATTTTAAATTTTTAAAACAAATCTACCATTGAAATGATAACTCTAAAACAATGTACTAATTGGGTTATGATTCAACAGTCATGGACCGTGGAGATGCAGGATACGTCTGATCCTCAATTTCCAAAGGCAACAGTGGTTAGGAATCCAAAGTTGAAAGGTCAGATTCTCTGTAAAGTAAAAATAGAAGGCTGTGAGGCGAAACCGGAGGTTATTGATGATCAAGCAGATGTGACGCCTAAACGACAGAAATTTGAAATTCCACACTTGGTTGATGAACCCGACGACCTGAATCTCAAAGCGTTGGAACGGCTTATGGCACTTCCCACCGTCATTCACCAAGAATCTGGCAGAAAGCCAAGAGGCCGTGTTATTGCGCCCTCTCAATACTCACCATTTGCAGGAAGTTCTGTTGTGCGAAGAATGATGGGTGCTGTATCTCATGG